CCACAGCTCACTGATTTTCACATTCCTTTCTGCATTTTGTCTTTTAAGTTTTAAACAAAAGAGCGAATGTATGTTTGGTGATATTTCTGAGCACAGCAACTCTTTAAAATATATTGCTTATTTATTTTCAGTAAAAATACACATACTGACTGACGAATATTTTAGGAAATCTTGTTTTATTAGCAAAAGCTAGTAATGTGTATGTACTGCAGTAATGCTTTGTACTGCTGGGAAATGCTATGCAAAGGTCTGAAGAAAGAGCTCAGGAAACTCACATTAGTTCTAACAAGACAAAGCATACTTCTGTGGGAAAAGTCCTCACTAAGACATATGTACAAAGATTTCTCTGGATTGTTTAGCTACATAACATCCTACCATTACAGTAAGTAATTTCAATGAGCAAAGGTATTCTAGAGGTCACTGCGAAAAATTATACTCTGACAGAATATTTAAATTACTTGTAGAACGGGCAGCTCAAAGAAGAGATTAATCATAATATGTACTCATTTTATTGTATATCAATTTTGGTATCACAAATACCTGATATTAGTTGAGAATGATTATGCTTTCAAATCTAGGCCAAAATTATATATCATGTCTTTTTAAATTATCATTATCAGGTCAATTAATTCTTTCCATTTTATAGATGAGTCAAGAAAGCTACAGATAGGGTGTCTAATTTTTCCAGATTACCTACTAGTAAATGACAAATCTTCAATTTAAACCCAAACTATCACCTCACTAGGATACATAACCACTTGACATAAGAAGATATATATATATATATAGATAGATAGATAGATAGATAGATAGATATAGATATATAGATAGATATAGATATATGATCATGTCAATACACAAGAGTATATATGTACTCACGTATGAATATGTATATATAAGTATTCGTAAATATTCATTGTGCCATTAACATTTCTAGCCAACATGACTCTCTATTTGTGTGTATCCTAATATCTAATTGCCCTGTTAGTAATATATTTCTTCATTTGTGTGTACACTGATAGTGATTGCCTCTACTCAATGAAAAGAAACAAAACACAATCCTTTGAAATGGTACAGGAAGCCAAAGTGAAAACTCCAGCGAGGAGAATTCAGGGTCCCATAATTCAGATGAGCATTTTTGAGGCAAACTGTTAGTGTTTGGGCTACAGCTGCTTTTCACTAACAATCCGCAAAGATACCTGAAACTACCTGCCTTTTTGCAGGTTGTCCCCCCGCATAACTGCCCATTGCTCTTCAATTTAAACCCAAACTATCACCTCACTAGGATACATAACCACTTGACATAAGAAGATATATATATAGATATAGATATAGATATAGATATATAGATAGATATAGATATATGATCATGTCAATACACAAGAGTATATATGTACTCATGTATGAATATGTATATATAAGTATTCGTAAATATTCATTGTGCCATTAACATTTCTAGCCAACATGACTCTCTATTTGTGTGTATCCTAATATCTAATTGCCCTGTTAGTAATATATTTCTTCATTTGTGTGTACACTGATAGTGATTGCCTCTACTCAATGAAAAGAAACAAAACACAATCCTTTGAAATGGTACAGGAAGCCAAAGTGAAAACTCCAGCGAGGAGAATTCAGGGTCCCATAATTCAGATGAGCATTTTTGAGGCAAACTGTTAGTGTTTGGGCTACAGCTGCTTTTCACTAACAATCCGCAAAGATACCTGAAACTACCTGCCTTTTTGCAGGTTGTCCCCCCGCATAACTGCCCATTGCTCTTCAATTTAAACCCAAACTATCACCTCACTAGGATACATAACCACTTGACATAAGAAGATATATATATATAGATATAGATATAGATATAGATATAGATATAGATATATAGATAGATATAGATATATGATCATGTCAATACACAAGAGTATATATGTACTCACGTATGAATATGTATATATAAGTATTCGTAAATATTCATTGTGCCATTAACATTTCTAGCCAACATGACTCTCTATTTGTGTGTATCCTAATATCTAATTGCCCTGTTAGTAATATATTTCTTCATTTGTGTGTACACTGATAGTGATTGCCTCTACTCAATGAAAAGAAACAAAACACAATCCTTTGAAATGGTACAGGAAGCCAAAGTGAAAACTCCAGCGAGGAGAATTCAGGGTCCCATAATTCAGATGAGCATTTTTGAAGCAAACTGTTAGTGTTTGGGCTACAGCTGCTTTTCACTAACAATCCGCAAAGATACCTGAAACTACCTGCCTTTTTGCAGGTTGTCCCCCTGCATAACTGCCCATTGCTCTCAGGTGGTCAATTCTACCTCCTTCTTTCCTAAAACCCTTTGGTGCTTTTCCAACCTTGCATCTCTGTGAGTATCTGGGCAGGATTGGAGGGCTTCTAGGCTGATTGCTCTTACATTCGCCTTGCAGTGAAAAAGGATGCTGCAGCCTCTGTCTAGCACATATATTCCCCTCCCTAGCTCAGAAATTATTTATTGTTCCTTGTTCTGTTTCTTGATCATTTTAACTCTCATAAATTTTTGCTATTTTGATTTCATCTGCTTCACTAAGTGGATGCTCAGATGTTCCTAGGAGTTCATAAAGTGAATCAGTGTGTGAGAAATGCTTTATAAACAAGAATAGAAAACAACAACAATTATTCAGAGATGCTGAAATTTTATTTGCAGAGTTCATTAGAGAACCCTTTGGAAGAGCTTCAGCACTTAGGTAATGAAATTGAAAATGCTGCTTCAAGTTTGAAAAGAGTAATGAATTTAAATTTTGCCAAGAGAATAGAAAAATTGTTCATGAAGCTCATTTTACAATTCTATTGCAGCATTGCATTTACAAGAATGAAAACAGAGCAAAAATTTCCTAGCTGGTAATGACATTAATAAACATTTTTATTACAAAGAAAGTTAAGACAAGTGTGTTAACCATAAAGTGGCAAAATTTCTGAAAACTGTGATGTTTGGTAATAATTTTTCTATCAATGTTATTCATTTTAAAAGTCATTGTAGATCTCAAAATATGCATAGCCTAGACACAGAATATATTATAGTTGGGTAAAATAACTTCTCATTAGACTTATGGTCAAGTGAAAAATTCAGAAGTGTTCTACTAATCTCATCTCCTGCCCTCATTGGCCTTCAACGTTGCCCAGCTTTTCTTACAGTTTCTGGAACGTGCACTCACTGACCCTTGCTTTAGGACTCTGACAATCCTACCCTTTGATCTGGAAAGAACATTCTTTCTGTCCAATTTTATCATTAATCTCCTATTCAGTTTTTAGTGAATGCATAAAATTTACTTCCTAAGAACATTCCCCTGGCTTCTCAACTTATGGTGACATCACATCGTATTCTTACTTTTTATAATGGTACTTACTGTAATTAGTACTACCATATTTATTAATGTCAATATATTTTTCCTGTTTTTGACAGCCTCTCTAGACATATGGCCCAAATTACTAAAAAATACTTAACAACCTGTTTATTTTTGAACTGTGCTCATCCAACAGGACTTTTTAATCCTTTCCCTGTAGACAAAATAGGAGAATCATGAACATAAAGGGAACACATTGTTTTAGCTTTTTGGTCATGTACTGTTAACAACTGTCAGAGCTAAATTGCAAAACATTGGAAGCAACTGCCTTTTATTAGCTCTTTTCCACATATCACAAGAATCTAAGTAGGAAAAAAAGAAAAGTTATCAATTTTAACTCAGACCCCCTCCCAAAAAATGCCACAGATTTCCAACTAATATAATTTTCAGTGTCTAGTACTGAAATGTTTATGAACATACCTCAATCAATGGAAATGATTAGAGGTTCAAAATTTTCCCTATGATGCATATATATTTCAAAAGTTATTGATGACATGCTGTATTGTTACTCTAATAATTGTTAGCTATGTTTTTTCACATTTTAATATATCTTGAAAATGCAAAACATATCAAAATTAAAATACACTGAAACTGGTGATTGCTTTACGGGAAAATTTCTAACAGGACCCACAAACCATCAATGCAAATCTTTTAACTCAATAAAACTAAGTACACAAGTGAGAAAAAAAATAAAAATAATTTTAAGAAAAACCCAGCATCATTACTGTGAATATTGCTAGATGCATTTTCTTTTTTTCATTTCCCATATGTAGTTTTACTTTGCTATGACAATATATTAGAGGATAATCACATTAAAGGAGTAAAGTCTCAGCATTTCAGAGGTTTTCAGTTCATGCTCGCAAGTGGTTTTTGGTGAGTTAGAATATCATGGAGGAAGCATGGGACAGGGAATAGCTACTTAGTTCATGGTGGTGGGAAGCAAAAAAGCTTGATTTTATAATAAAGTCCATCGTTGAAACCCATTAACCTGTGAGTTCATAAATGTATTAATCCATCATAAATGAAAGCCTTCATGACACAATCATCTCTGCAGTGCTTCATCTGTAAGCACTGCTACACTGGGGTCCAGTCCTTCAGTGCAGAGCTTTTGGTGGACTTTAGCATCCAAACCATCACACCATGGTTTCATGATTTTTAAGGAGTTTTGGAGATCAATTCAGTGAGAACATTGCATACCTATGTAGTTCTTTACATTCTACCAGCATAATCATAATCACTAATTTCAATGACTTGCCTTCTCTGTATAGAAGAGAAATGATGATCTCTGTCTATAATTATAAGCCAAATTCAGTGTATTGCATTTTGGTAGCTACACTGATAATTAGAATTGAAGTCAGAAACATTAATATCTGTTTTATGGACAAGCTATTGTGGTAACACGAAGAAGCGATGTGTTAGGTGTGACTTTGAAGGCTGGAGTCTTGATTGCTATAATCATTTTTAATGAAGTCCTAGTGTTGTAGTATGAGTGTTACTTTTTGACTGTGGCATTTGCACCTGGCATTTGCCCACACTGATGCAAGATATTGCCACGGTAGCATTATGAATTGATGTATGCCAGCCTGTGTAACTCCAGGTTTTCATCAGGACAGTGACCTGCTGGACCGGCGGAAACACTGCTTCACCGTGCAGTCCGAATCCGGGGAGGACCTCTACTTCTCCGTGGAGTTAGAGAGTGACCTCGCTCAGTGGGAAAGAGCCTTTCAAACAGCCACTTTTCTAGAAGTGGAACGGATACAGGTGAGAGACCGCAGAATGTAGAATCCTTGCTTTCCAGTGATACATAATTGATCCCCTGGCATTCTAGTATATGTCTAAAGTAGTATCAGTGAGCATTGACCTCCTTATCAATTTACCTTCACAAGAACTAGCCAGTATTGTCAAATTAGTAATAAGGAAGTCCTGAAGAAAGTATTACTTTTCCCACTATTTTATCTTTCTAGGCTCTTGCTAGGATTCATCAAAAATACTTTTCTAATTTTAGTTAAACATAGCTCTAGTTTGAGTTTGACACTCAAATTCTATCATCCATACACAGTCTATCATGCATAGACATTTTCCAAATTTATGCAGTACCCAGCCCCACTAATCACAACTCCTACCAGAACATTCTTGTTGGTCTTCTTCCCTCTTATCCCTTCTGAAAAACAATATTGTGCATTTGTTTTCTTAGACCCAATTAAGCATGTCATTCCTTATATTAAACTGTAGGAAGCTTGATATTGTTTTACTCATTTACAACTGCACTCTAATGCACACTGCACACCATAATTATTCAATAAATATTTACTGAATTATACTTCTTCATTGTGAAGTCATATCTGAATCAAACTTTGTAGAACCTTCAGTTTGTACAATTCAGGAGACTCCAAAATGGAATCTAGAATTGTTCTGTGACTGACCTGTAACAGATCTGAGGGTTTAGGATGGGTTTGCTCTGTGAAAAAGAATTTGCAAAGCCTAAAGGAATCCTTTATTTTGAAAACAAATATGATGGTAATACAACTTTGATGATACCAGAAGGTTTACCTGTGACAGGAACTCAATGTGCATGCTAAACTGATTACTTTTTTCATTCTGAACTTTAATATGTATTGTATCAATTTGTGCTATGACATTACAACTAGAGTAAAAATGGAAATCTCAGATTTCAACTGACTTTTTCTAACAACTCTGGCTTTATCTTCGTATATTTAAAAATTATGAGAAGGCTGCAAATACATTTGTAATTTAGCTGTATAAATTATTAAACTATAAACTACTAAATAAATATTTTAGTATCAAACTGGCAAAATGAAAACATCTTAAATATTATTTTATTCTGAGTGTCAACATTTAAAATAATTTCAAAAAATATATTGTAATTGAACAAAATTTGAAAAATTTTATTTATATTTTAGACTTTCTCTTCATTTACCATTTTTCCAGAAAATTCCACCTCACTAGGAAAAAAATGACATATTCTTCAAGTTGATATCTATTTAAGATTTCATTGTAAGTAGATTTATAGAAATGAGACAGAGAAGAATTTATAATTTTGCTTTGCATGCTGACATGTTCTTGTGTTCTGGGGTTTTGAATTTTATAAGATGTGGTTCAGTGGGATCCTTTGAATTAAGTTCTTACCCACTCCCGAGACTGGTTTAATATCCATGTGAGGAAAAATAAACAAACAAAAAGATGCATGTCAGAAGTGAAATGTAAAATACTTACTTTTTAATTTTTAACTTTCTACTTTATAATTTTGTTTGTGTACTGTATGCTAAATTAACAATAATGGGCTGAAAAATTTGGTAGCATGATTTTCAACATTCAAACACTTGAACATATTCATGTGAAGAATTTTATGTTATCAAAATTTCACTCATTGCATTTAATTAGATAGTAAATTAAAAGCAATTTATACTGTAAAATAGGCAGAAAAGAAGAAAATTAACAAAATTCTACCCTCATGTAATTCACAAATAAATTTACCTCTTTGAAATGGTATCTGTTAATAAGACTATACTAATACTTTCTAGTTTCTAGTCATTTAAACTAGTTTTGGTATTATTTATAATCTCTAATGTACTTAAGAATTATATAAACACCTACATATTTGTTTGAAGAGGTGACTGTGAAAAGCATTCACTAATAAAATGTTCAATATTGGCAAGTTAGCACTTTAAAATTCAAAAATATAGCAAATAATGAAACAAGATAATGAAAATTTATATAAGTAAACTACGTTTCACTGGTATTAAATTATACTAAAAGATTTAATTCCCTTATGATGTTTTTAGTGTCTTTACAATTTGCTCAGAATAAATGGTTAGTACTGATTAAAGGCAGGTTTTATAATCATACACTAATTTAATTTGAATTTTTTTAAAGTGACTTTTATAGAAAATGTGCATTATTTACAAAAATTTATGTTATTTTGAAGTGTTATATTTTGTCTGTAACATTTAGCTGTCAAGAGCTTTCTAAAATCTTTATTCTGTGTGTGATTTGTCTTCAAATGTTGCATAATATATAACTGCAAAACCTTTCAAATTGCTTTTGTTTAAACTTCTCTAAAAATAATAATTTTATCATTTTTTCTCTTATAATTTAGTTATCATTACATAAACAGAAATTAAACAGAAAATATTTCAATATTAATACATAGTGAGTACATTCAAGCTATATATTCATTAATATTATAAATTACAGCATTAAATTTAAATAGGTCTCTATAGTATATTTTCCCATTAAACATTTTTAATGTGTAAATTAAATAATATTTCTGAACTTAGTAAGACATAATAAATACACTATACTAAATGTATTTTGACATAGGATTTTTTTTTTTTTTGAGAAAAGATTTTAGCTGTGAAGTTCAGGTTGGCTTTGAACTCAGAGCAAATCCTACGCACTTAACCTCCTAAGTTCTGGCCTTACAGGTATATACAAATACACCCAGGTGGAATATTCTTTTTTAAATGACAATATTGAAATTAGAAAAAAAATAGGAAGAAATGATACAATCTTGAACATTCTTTGAGACAGATCTCACTACTTTTTTCTTCTTTTGTTACTGGGAGTCAAACTCAAAACCTTGTTTTTGCCAGACTGAAGTTTATGCCACTGAGCTCTAGCATTGGAAACCTTGAACATTCTTTAACGTTAATGGTTTTAATAAAGTGCTAATGAATGGATACAGATATGCAAAATGCCCATGTATTTAACAAATATAATTACATACATAAATGGACTTTTGATGTCCGTTAAGTATGATCTCTCATCTACTTTTAAAAAATTATCTTTATGGATAAGTTGGAATGGTCTCGCTTTCCTTTCTAAAAATAGACTTAAATATATGAATATCACTTTGGTGAAGATGTATAGTGTTTAGCCAAAATTGCAATCAAAATGTGATTTTTAAAATATATTTTATGTAAAGTGCTATAAAATAAGTATCATGTGAGAAGTGGCATTTAAAAATGTTAGATGTGTAACTCACTATCTTACTGATCTTGTATGTGGATTATATATTTGGTACATTTCACATAGAAGAAGTGAATTATAAGTGAAATTATAATGTGAAACGTTATATAGCAAAATCATGACTTGAGATCATAATTATTTCTGCAAAAGCATTTGTAATCTAAAGCACTTGTATGTCAAAGCAAATTTTCCCATAAATAATGGGAACCCATAATTTATTTCATGGCACAAAAGTATTCATACAAAAATATTATAATACAGTAATATAATAGAAAATAGTAAACAGAATTAAAATATAAAGCAAAAAAAATTAACCTGCACTTGGAATGGTCTCAATTTTCCTTTATAGCTTGTATGAGGGAGACAAGAGAAAAGAGGGCTATTGTGTAGGACGATTTTCACAATTAGTGTAAGAACTATGGTTGTCTGTTGGATCCATGGAATCTTTCTTTTTGTGTGACTTTTAAAAGGAACCTATCCAATGATACTGTCTTCTAACTCTTTTTGAGAATTTACTGGAAACATGACATTGTATTGTTAAACAAATTGATAGCTGTCACTGCTACAGCATATTGACAGCCACGTGGTTTTTTTCATGTATTCCACATTTCCCTAGTCTCATTTGAAGTGAAGAATTTCATCATCCCCCACTGAGATCTCCTCCAAGATCTCCTTCTGTTGGGAAAATATTGTCCATAATCCATCAGAGAGAGAGAGAGGAAGAAATATTGGGAGAGGGAGATGGAGAAGAGGAGAAGGGGAGAAATCATAGATGATGTGACATTCAGTATCGAGTACTAGTTTTATTACAAAATTTCACTAGCACATCTAGTTAAAATTTATGAAAAATATGTGCTTGTCTTGAAGAACAAGTTAGTTACAATCCAAGATTTTACTGTTTAGTGAAACTGGGAGTTTCACAGTAGTTTACGAATAATAGAAACACAGGTATTCTGTGCATACCATAGTGCACCACGTTGCATGTAAGAACCAAGATATTTTGTATCTCATTTTATCCTATTTTATATCCATATTTGCTCATCCCCCTAAACATTAATATAAATAGAATGATAGCATAATCTGACTTCAATGTGGAAATTTATTAGCTGTTGTTTTTAATTAATTATTTTTTGCAAGGTTGAGGATGAAATACCCACCCAGGCTTGTGATGCTTGGCAAGCACTGTAACTCTGTGCTACAGCCCTAGACCACGCATATTGATTTTTAAAGAATTTGTATTTCAAACAAGTATAAGCAAATGATAAAATACCTGTGGGTAATTGCTTATATCATATAAAAGAACATATACAGATTATTGAATTCAAGGTGTCTTTTGCCTTGGTTACAGAATCTCTATAAAATGTACCTGAGAGTTCTTTATTATAATACCCATGAAATTGGTATAGTGAAAATTTAATAGCTTTATTTTTAATATTTAATATTTACATTCAATTTTCTACTTTGTGTAATAAATATATGGTGATATTTCGGCAGCAGGATGTAATAACTTAATATAATCTCACCTAAACTTAAATTTTTGTAACAGTGTATTATCATAATAGCAAGATTTTGCCCCCTATAAGCACACAGTGAGGAACAAGATTGGAAGTTTGACCCCAAGAACTCCTGGGGAGATCCAAGAAACATTCTTAGTTTGTATTTGATTATAGTAAAAGGTTTATAGAATATCTTTCTTTATGCAATTATGATTGGTATTATACTAAGCATTGTCTAAACTATTTGGCCGTCACAGCCCCTTTAACTAACAGTATCCTCTATTCTATCTAGTGCAAGACATATGCGTGTGTACTAGAGAGTCATCTAATGGGCCTCACGATTGACTTCAGCACAGGATTTATCTGCTTTGATGCTGCAACCAAGGTAATGTGTTTGGGTTGGCTCTGAGAAATGTGTTGCAACCTTCTCTTTCAAGAACAAGTGAAATACCTTTGAATTCCTTTCTTCACTTAATTGCCTGTCATGTGTCAAATGCAACATCTTTCTTTGTTGATCAAAGGTAAATTATATTTTAATCTGTTTATAGAAAATATTAAATTATAGACATGCACCACAAAACATAACTATATTAATGTAAATCTATCGATTTATAGCACAGATGTAAGAGCAATGGGTATTGTTTTTGTTTGTAGTTTTGTTTTTTTCCTTCTATTCAAAAGAAATGGCTTCATACTTGAGAGAAGATTCATTGCTAAGAAACAAATTTTCAAACTTTTTCTTAATGATTTTTCTGATTCAGTATCTACAAGATGAAAATATGAAAACAGATTTTTATAAATGACAGCTTAGCATTACTGGTAAAATGGTGGAATTTTGAGTCTTGCAGTTTCTAGATAGAGAGAACATCAACTGTAAACATTTGACTGCAGAAGAATTTTGTAAAATCTGATGAACTGCTCTTTCTATGAAGTGTGCATCTTCGGATGAAAGATACTTATCCAGAGAGTCATATTTAAAAACTCATCAAACACAGTGATTATGGAGCAGTACATGATGAATCAAAATATTATGCATTATTATTCTATTGTAACCAGAAATGATCTTAACTTCTGCTGACCCACACCCAACTGCTTCCCTGCTTCTAGTCACTGCTGCAGAATCTGGCTGTGACTCTGGTCCCCAGGATACACATTCTCTCCCTTCCCACTGGAATACCTGCTTCCTAGATCCCCTCTACTTTCTTCTCTATCCAAGTGTGGATTGTTGACCAAAAGACTCCTCACTGATTTATGGATTAACAAATAATCTTTTACGAGATAAGACACATTTTACAAGCACATACACACAAAATAAAAAGTCACACAGATGTGTGAGGAAGGTTGGGGTGATTTGACCTTGGGAATAGTGCCAGTGTAGCGTTGGAGTCCAACAAGTCATAGCTGGGTAGGATGCCATTGTAGAACTTAAGATGTTTCATAAACAGCAGTTAAGGCTGTCATGCAGCATTTGAATTATTTAGGGATCAATGGTGTTTCTTTTTAACAATCACTAGGAAATTAATTAGCCCATTTATTTGGCTCAGATTTGGTTTTCCATTATGTGGGCTTTGTACAATGACAAATACACACTCCTGTAAATTCCAGTGGTACTTCAGATAATTTTGCCATCAAATCAGGATAGGCCCATGACTGTTAGATAAATGTAATGTAATGATTTAAGTACTCAACTAACTAGGCTACTAATTTTAGAAATAAACTCATTAAACAGCAGATAATGTTTGTTTTTCAAAAGGAAATATAACCCGTGTTGTCACCAAACTGTGTTGCATGAATGTGGGTGTCACTAGTAAATAAGACAGAAACAAAAGTCATCTAAACGCATCTTATGTATCTGAATCTCTTCTGAATTTATGTTTAGGGTTAGTAAAATCTAAATGCATTTTAGTGTCCTATTGTGTAATAGAGGAGAAAACAGTGATGTCAACACCCTTTACAACATATTGGTAAACTTCTGCCAGAACTAGAACGGAAATGAGTAATTAGTAAAGAGAATCAGATAAAACTGGTATGATACCACCTATAGGGGACACTATCTAGCAGAAAATAAGAATTTGATTATTGTAAGCCTGGCACGCAGGAAATACTCAACGCTTCAGGGGGAGCAGTCACTGTCCTTCTCTTTTCTTTTCTTTTTTTCTTCTTTTCCTTTTCTTTTATTCTTTTGGAAGCATTAACCTTTAAGGGTTTGAGGAGAAAAGAGATTTGAGGAGAAAAGAGACTATACAAAGCAATATAATGCAGATAATGATGCTACCCACCCGGACTGTGATGGTGACAGCTGTCAATAATCATGCCAAGCTAGTGCACATAAAATGAGAGCATCTTGGGGAAATAACTGGGTGAACTTTACTGAAGGAGGCTTGCCCCACTCCATGTAGTGCCTGCAAGTTACATTTCAGTACAAAAAGGATTGTTGTTACATACAAATTAAAATCTATCTTGCTCTAATATTTATTAAAACAAGTGACACCAACTGTTTTTTCTTCACTTGATATTCTTGTGGTAAGTGACCTTAAGAAAATATGCTCAGAGGATTTACAAAGAAATATGGATTCAGGAACACCATTGAATCAGGTCTGCTCATGTTTATAGATGAACACATTTTATTCTGCACTTCTTCTTAACCAGGTCTTCCAAACGTGAAGTTACCAAGTAGACAAATCAAACTGACGGTGAAACACACGCTCTAGGCAAGGGGGGACTCTAAGTGAGTTGTTAAATGAGTTGCAGCAGATATTATTTTGTCCATATCAGTCATGGAGAGACTGTCTGCATCATGGCTTTCTTTAGACCTTGTGCTTCATTTTATGAGAATTTAAAGTAATGAACAACAAATTGAAACAACACTGAGAATGAGGATCAAACTGATTTTAGATAGCAATACAGTGCTAAAAATTTGGAGACAGATGCGTATCACGATATCACACTACTCCTAAGTGCTTGCCCTCTGTGCTTGAAGTTCCCAAGGAAAGTTAATTGCATTTGCCAGAGTACAAAACGTACTGAGTTGCACACTGTCTCATCTAGAGCATTTTTACAGTATCCTCTGAAGATTGGTTCCAGAATCAGTGCAAGGTAAATAGATATTGTACTATACTGTTGAGAGTAAAATGATGAGAAAGAAAAGTCTGTGCAAATTCAATACAAGATGTACATCTTTCTGAATATTTTCCAGTTATGGTTGAGTAAGTCTGAAGATATAAAACCTGCAGTTATGGGGGAGGTGGTGAGTGGGAACAAGTATATTTCAGTTTATACTAGTGCCCTAAAATAATGTACATTTCCCAGTGTTCCTTTACAAAAGTTTATTACCATACCCCAGCTTGTACTTTGTAATCTTCATCCTTATTAAAAAACAACCTTTTCAGTGTTAGAAAAGCATAGCCTCACTGCTGTGTCAAAGTATAATCTTGTAATTTTTAAATAATTCATGTAACTAAAAATATGTATTGTTGGCATTTCATTCTTTTAAATTTCAAGGCAAATTTTTATCTCTCCTCTTTCTTTACACATTATACTTTTATTTTATGAACAATAAAATGTAAAAATAAGAATTTGCCAAATAGGTATTATAATTTAAATGGATTAAAATTAATAGTTGGAATAGTAAGGTTTGGGAAATTTCAGCTTCTACTTCTTTCTGGATACTAATAAGCTGGTTCTGGTTTTATTGTATGATGCTGTGCTAAAACAACAATCATATTTAATAAGATAATAAAGAAGTTTTCTTGTGAAGGACAGAATGGGAAACAAGGTGGATGGTTTACGATCACAGATAATTGACAAATAACTTCAGTGAAACTATGAGGATTTAATTCTGCTAAAGAACTTAAAAGAGAATTCAAAGGTTATTATCACCAGATTTTGGCATAGCATGTACACCCCTTTTTTCATGTGATGAATGTTTAACGTTTTCTTTCTGCCAAAGAAAGAGTATGCCTGATACTGGATATTCAGCACTGAATGTGGAACGTAATTTTACTTCAGTGTAATAAAATGTTGTACTTTTCTTTATGTATCATGTCCAGGATTATGAACTTGCTAATGACCAAATTATTGGAATGCATCCTGTTTGCTACTAGAAATTGCAGGTCTTCACTTGTGGTCAGTACTCGCTAATATACACGATTTCACAACTATATTTTGTATTAACTTCCCGTCTTGGGCTCCTTGATTTCTTGTTCCATCTTCCTTCCACCTACTTTTTAATCTATTTCAATTTATGTTTTCTTTCAGTTTTCATTTCTTAGTAGTACATTGGTATTACATTATGATACATTCCTTATAGTATCTTGATACACACACACACACACGCACACACACACACACACACACACACACATATATATATATATATGTATAACATCTTAATTCTTTCATTCCTTTTCATTTCCTTCATCCTTCTCTCTCCACGCCTTGATCCATTTCCCATTTGAACAAAATGTGTCATCATACTTCCTGTTATCTATTTATACATTTATACATTTTTTTTGAGAAATGTCTGTTTCATTGTCTACCTTTTGATTGAATTTTTTGGTGGGTGTCTAAATTTTTGAGTTACTTAAATATTGTAAATATTATTGATTTGTCTGAGGAATAGCTGGTAAAATATTTTCCCATTCTGTAGGTTGTCTCTGCACTCTGTTGTTTTGTTGGTTTTACAGAAGCTTGTTAATTTGATACAATTCTATTTGTTGGAGCTTGGTACTGTTTTCGTGTGCTGCTGCAGTTTTGTCCAGAAAATTCTTGTTCCTGGGTCATCAAGGGTTTTATTTATTCTCTATTCCTGCAGAGTAAGTCTTTCTGTTCATACATTTAGGTCTTTGATCCATTTTTATTTTAGTTTATGCATTATGAGATATGTGACTCTAGTCTCCACTGTCCACATACTCACTTTTGCTTGGTCCTTTGTCAAAGACCAAATATCCAAATGTGCCTGAAGTTGTTTCTGCATCCTTTCTGATCCTTTCTTTCTCATTTATTTGCACCCTGCTTTTGAGCTACTGTCTTGCGGGGTTTGCCCCCTGACCCCAAGCCGTCACTGGAGCTTTGTAGAACTTGAAACCTGGGATTGGGCCGCCCTTGCCTTGCTCTTGTTGCTTAGAATTGCTTTGCTGTTCTAGGCCTTTTCTTGTTCCAAATGAATTTTGCAATTGTTTTCTCTCTTGCTGTGAGGAATGCTGTTGGTATTTTGAATGGGATTGCATTAAATCTATATATCAGTTTTAGGTATATGATTGCTTTTACTGTATTGATTCTACCTCTTTGTGAATAGAAGATATTATTCTGATAGGTGTCATCTTTTATCTTCTTTTCAGAATACTGCAGTTTTCACAGTAAAGGTCTTTCATTTCCTTTGTTAGG